GTAGCAGTAGCAGTAGCAGTAGTACTAGTAGTAGTCGTAGTAGCAGCAGCAGCAGTAGTGGTAGTCGTAGTAGTTCAAGTTGCTGCGTTGGCAATGTTGCTTCAGCGTGCTTGGCAGTGCTTGGTGTCTCTCCTCGGACCGAGGAATGCGAGCCACAAGCCGGAGCTTTTTCTTAGCTTCGAGGCCATGATTGGCTCAGGAGAGCAGGTGCTGAATGTCACCGCAGATCAAGCCAAGATGATGATCCGAGTGGAGGACCCCTGGCGCCCTGGCAAGCTACGGCCTGCACATAACTTCGCCTTGTTCAGGAGATGGACAGCACCAACACGACTCCGACACCTGACCCCAGACCTACCGACAAAATGATTCTGGATGTCGCGAACGGCTTCAGGCCGGATACGGAAATCCACACATCGCTATGCAGGTCAATGCCGAAGCTGAGTTTTGCCTCAGTTGAATTGGGTGTGCAGGTGGCTTAGGCCAGTAATGATTGGGCTACGTGACTAGGCTGCGGAAACGAAGACCCGGAGTAGAGATTCGGGCGTGCATGGATTGGAAGATTATGACGACTCGGCGCGCGGATGTTCGGTTCCGGGGGAAGGATGTGGGAAGTTTCGGTTTCGCACCTCTTTCCAATTATCGGCGTTCGCGACGGGCTGGCAGCAATTTGTCGCATGTTTGATGTGGTTCGGCCAAATGTTTGTTCAGCGACGTCCCTAGATCATACCTTGTGACATCCGTGAAGTAGCATCGCAGCATGGAAGATCACTCTCTGCCCAGTGCTTCAGTCACGGTGGGGCAGGCACGAACACCAGCGCTTTTTCTCCGAGACAGTCTGCTACACCTTTGCGCCTCATCGCACTCATTCTGTTGCAGTGCTCCATGTCGGGTGGCAGCACAGGGCATTGGACGATTTCGTCTAGTTTCCACACAGGAAGCCTGTGACTTGCATGCGCTGAATACCATGTTGAAAGCCAGCAACCTGAGGACATGCATCCAGCTGGTGGCATGATGAGCCCGCTCATGCGGTGGAAGAACTGGTGCCTCCTCGACTTGTCGACTCATACTCGGAGTTCCTTCCTCGTAACGGCTGCTCTGTGTGGCCGAGGCCGAAGCGCGTCGAGCGCCTCGCCATGGCAAGGAGCTCGACCGTGGTTGACGCGGCCCGTGATGAAGACGGCAAGGAGGAGCCCGACAATAGCTCGGGCATCGTGCACGATGTGCACGAGGAATCGCCGATGAACGAGACGCAGTTACGGCGCATGATGTTTGTTGAAGCTATGACTCCCGGTTGCAGTGCCTGCGCTCGTCGCTGCACTTGTCCCGGGGGCTTCGGACACATAAGGAGCGAGATCTTTGAAGCGCCGCTCCGCGTGTATGAAATGACTCAGCCAGAAGGCAGAGGGCTTGGCTGAGGGCATGCTCGTGCAGAGTATTGCAGAGTCGCAGCAGGTGGTCGAAGGACGAATGGAAAGGGACCTGTGCTATTGTGCTGAGGTGTCAGGCAGGTTGCTGGCCTCAACTGTACGGCTTGGGTCATGAATCAGTCGCACAGCCTGCACGTGAAGGAGATGATGCAGGCACTTCTTGATGTGCCCGGATGGAGGTGTGATGACGTGTGCAAAGATCCTTTGCAAGGCGATGACCAGTATGACGGATGCCACGCTCCGCGATCTCCCAGTCTGGTGGTTCACTTGGGATGTCCAGGCCCAGCCCCCGGAGCTGATTAGCGACTCACTCGCGGCAGCGAAATATTGAGTTGAGAAGACAGTGACAGGATGCATCCGAGAAATTGCAGCTGCTCCAATCCCTGCTGGACCCCACAGGAGCTACCCATTCGCAAGTGTATGGCACAGGCTGACAGGTCGTGCATGCTTGTATTGTGTTCTTGAAGGAGTTGCGACGATGTCGGCCCTGTTCGAGTTCTGCGTGACAGACTTGGGCGAGCTCTTGTCCGCGGAGACACAGCCAGCTGTCTCAGAGCTCTCCGAAATGCGCTCGGAGGAATGAGAAAGCTTTTTCCGGCTGCTTTCAGGTATAAGCTGACCTATGCCCGACAAGCTCAGAACGCCACAAACGAGACAGAGCAGGATGCCGGACTGGAGAATCAAAGCAATGCCCCTTGGCGGCGAATTCGGCGAGAGGAGTCCGGAAGTGCTTGTAGCGGAGCTTAGCAGATCTTCGCTTCTGGTCCGCTCCGGCTCTCTGCTTCCCAGGCTTAGTCACGTGCACAAAGACTGAGGCCAGCCTGGGTGGGCCGAATGTGTTGACGCTCTTCGAGTCAGACAGCCGGACCCAACTACTCTCCCCGCCGCACAGGTCACCAGAAAGAAAAAAATGCTGAATTGCTTGTTCAGATTTTCAATAACAGGATCTGTTCTCCTTGTCGAGTCGAAGCTCCTGCATGCGAGTCCACACAACATCCAAGTTTCCATGTTTTGGCCTGCCCACGATGCACGTTTACTGATGAGACCACACGTGAAAAGCGAAAGCCCTCCAGGCCTTCGAATCTCTTGCATCTGAGCGCCACGTACGGTGTCACTGGCGGTGAGTGCGTGGATCTGACTCAGGCGACTCGTCTTCAGCTTCATTTCTGTCGTATTCTGTCGCGTTACTGGGACTGGGGTCGCAGAACCGTGCACGACTGCGGTGACTGCGGTACTGCACGTGTCGCCTTCAGGGGAACGTGGGCGAGGCGGAGATGGACTCAGAGGTCAACGGGCCGGAGCGCCTCGCGCGAATCAATCGGGAGACCGTCGGCCCCTTCAGCTGCAGCTTACGCAGGGGCGGACCGTCCAATTCGCTTCTTGAGGGTCCTGTACCTTGCGTTACCCACAGAGCCATCTCACTCTTCTCCTGCCGCAGCACAAGGTCTCTGGGAGGCTGCCCCGTATGACTTCTGGAAGGGTCTGAAGGTGGGGAGATTTCGGAGATCCTTGTTTAGAACATCGAGCACGGACGGTTGCAAAAGGTCCGTGAAATCGTGCCCTCACTGGGCACTGAGATTGGGCCGCTCCGTTTGCCTCTGCGGACCGGGGCCAGGTGGACTCAAAGTCAGTCCGACATGCAGACTTTGATCCCTTTGCGGTCTTAGATCAAGTGTCGCAAGGCCAGCCCAGCCGAGCCTGGTCCGTGCAGAAGTGGTCTCCGAGCCCTCAGTGCCGGTGTCCTTCGATGCTCGCGCACACTGGTCCAAGTGCAATTCCATCGGAATCATCCGCAACCAGGCAGGTCATGGATGTCATGGCACAGATGCCTCTCTGTGAGCTGTCCTGAGCCGTGATGAGGGCCGCTGTGGGTCGTGCTGGGCTGTGGCCGCGGCGACAGCAGCTTGACATAGCTTGACTCACAAATTTAAACTTGGATGCTCGCTCGATGAACGGGCTGCGACGGTGACTGCGAGGTAATGACAGACAGATTCTGCGTTGCGGCTTCTCAGTTCCTGGGTCGAAATGACAGCGCTCAAGGCAGTCTGTTGCAGCTGTCTGCCGCTCGGCGGCCATGGCAACCCAGGGGAGGGCTGTGGAGCCGATCTCTCAGCCTGTCGTTTTCTTTTCGGAGGAGATGCAGGGCCTGTCTTTGGCTCCGGAGCTGCTCGTCCAGTGCGATGAGACCAACCATGGCTGCGGCGGAGGGCGTCTGGACGACGTTTGGCTCTTCCTGCGAAGCCACGGCGTACCTCAGGCTCGGGGCGGGGGAAGGGCCGTCGGGGGTTAGGGTTAGGAGGCAACTTGCAGTCTGCATCTCTTACACAATCCGGCTGCGCAGGAATCCTGCGCCCCGTACGAACACTGCCTTGTCCCGACGCAGCGCACGTGCGACTATGACTGGCAGCCGAGGCACAGACCTTGACTTTTGTGGCGCTTGCTTGCCCCATCTGTGCTAACAAGGCCGACGATGCAGCTGCATTCAGATCAGCAGGATGAGGAGCCGCAGTCAAAGCATGACATCTGCAGCTCGTCGGCACCATACAGGCTACAGGCAGGCTACAGAGTTGGTTGAAAAGCCTTTCAGTTCTTGCCATTGCCGGAGGCAAAGCTCACCGTGCTAAGGTAACGGGGCTTGTGCCGATGGCTCAAAGATGAAGCTCTTCAAGGTGGCAGAGGTGCTTTGCTCCGATGCCTCCGAAACACTGGACTGCCGAGCTGCTCCTCCCAGCATGTACACACATGCTGTACGAGTCATAGTATAACATGAGAAAGGACAATCATGCTGAAGACATCAGGACGAAATAAGGCAACCAGGTCAAATGCTTCGATGGCTCAAGACTTCCGACAGGCCTACGCGGCTGCCCCGCCTCGTGACGTGGTGGGCCTACAGCGTGAGCTGCTGACACACGGCCCGGTGGAGGTGGCCTTCTTCGTGGCCCAGCTGGATATAGCACAGGCATATCGAAAAGCCCATACCCTTTCTCGCCGAGCCTTGAGACGGTACTGTATGCCTCAAGCAACTCAGACTTCCGAGCAGCGGACCCGGCACTCTGGCCTTCACACCCGAACTGTTGGAATTACCAAGGTCTTTTCTGACTGCATGAGCTACAAGCGCGGCGTCTACTTCCGCACTCCTGGAGCCTTTGGTCCCTTGGGAGGCGCGGAAACCAGCAATGTCCCAGGTCGGAACCAAGGAACTTCCGAAACGGCACATTAAGGCGTTACAGACACCACCAGTAAGTGTCCGTCTTTGTTGTGACCGGGTGCTTGTGTGTTTCGAGAGCGAGGAGGGTCTAGGACGGTAGCAGCCTGCTCTCCTCGCTTGTCTGCCCGGGTTCTGTAACTCTCATGGCTGGTCACTGAATGTAGTGACAAGTGTTTTGAATGCACAACACCGTCCTCCGGTGCGTTGACATAGCAGTAGCTAACACCATCGAATAGTTGAGCCCAGGATGATGCGAGGAAAGAAAGATCAGGTAATATCCTCAGCAAGCTATGGACACACACTTTGTGTGTACGCACATCGCCGTGCAGGTACGTACGTATGTATGGGTGTAGGTAGGTGTGTCTGCAAAACACGAGGTGTATTGTGGTGTGTTCGAAACGTAGCCACGTGTGTAGCGTGGCTTCAGGTACAACATGCAAAAGTAGTTTCTGCCGATGTGTCGATCCACTACAGAATTGAACATACTCATGAAACAGAAATCTGACCAGCACGATGAAGGAATAACATCATAAGTGAAAACCCTCCTCTGTGCCTTTGCGCAGCGGTCAATAGCATAGAGTCATAGAGTACCTGTAACTGTTCGAGGCCACGCGGTGCGACTTCTCGGATGGGGCACAGAGGAGGTGGGTGGGAAATCATAAACTTCATAGAACTGGCTTGTATTCTTTTCAGTAGTGCCATGTGACTTGAGGGACCGTCTGGAGTGCTGATGACCTTCCCAGGTGTAATTTGAGCTTTTGTAGAGTGGGAACTTCGGATTGTTTTTTTTTCAGTCCTGGGTTCAGGACTTTGGGAAAGACGCCCTGGATTACTGGCTCATCGCCAATTCCTACTCTCCGCGTTGGGGCATGCACGGCCTCTTTCGCATCCGACGTGGCACTAACGCATCTTGAATGGAATCGATTGCTGTGATGAGTGAGAGCTTGCACACGCTTGCATTCGCCTGTTGCCGGGCTGTGGGTTGGCACTGCCATCATCCTAAGTTCCTAACCGAAAGAGTGCAAGCCTGAGTGCATCAGGAATGTGGCATCGAGTCAATTCCTGCGGCTGGCACACCAGACCTGAGCCACCTTTTCCAGTAGGTACTAGCTTTCGTTGGGAGTGTGAAGCTCCATGCAAGAGGCCACTACTAGCTACATACTTAGCTGGACGTCAAGCAGCCGTTGACCAGAGAGCCGTTCCAGACTTGCATGGCATGCCATTTCCCTTGGCACTCCAAGTGGTGCACCTCTGCGACTGACTGTCGCCGATCGTTGCAGAGGACTCGACTACAGTGTACAGGCAATTGACAAGTTACACAACAGTTCCGACAAGCAAGGCTAACGTGCAGCACGAAAAGAGAATGTCAGAGCAACGCCGCGCAATCACTTGCTGTAGACAGCACGAAATGTCTGGTCTTCACGAGGTCCGAACGGTTTACCACAAATACCACCACCCCAAGGCAGGGACTGTAAATGGTACATCGATGGAGACTTCACGATGCTTTTCTGCAGGAGTGCCTCATCACGCATGGCACCATTTGCCGTGACTTAGTTGGGACCCGAGTGAACCGAAGGGTCCTCCTCACGGCGAGACTTCATCCCTCAGTAAATGTACTAGGCTGCCTTCAAAGACTCCATGCGAAATTGGCAGTGACCGATGGAGCTCGTCCCAGGTTCGAGCGGCTAACGGTGAGAAAAAGAAAGAGAAGGAGAACAATGACAAGCTCGCTCTCAACATCACGAAGGCTGGGATCGATCTAGTGTTTGTCCTGCACCCAAGAATTTGCGTATCCGAGTAAGGCTAAGGATCATCTCCATCAGTCCCATGGCATGAGATCTGTCGACCATAGCGCATTCTGTGCGCGCAGGAGGATGCGGAGACAGTCACCCTTGCCAAGGCTGGAGACAGTCGGCCAAACTTGGGGCACCGCAGCATGGAGCTCTTGAGAAGCAAAGGGCGGGCCTTCCGGTGAGAGATGCTCAATAATTTCGCGCCCGTGTATGGGAGGACGATGGCGGCCTGGAGTTTGTCTTCCCTTACGGGGCAACGCTGAACGCGCAGAAGCCCGCAGTTCCCATCCTTTCTTCGGGGAAACTTGGCTGACAGCATGCTCATGACAGTGCTCCCTCGCCTCTCCCAAGTTTGTAGTGCCCTGCCATCTGCTTGAGGCCTATCTCATACCCCTTGAATCGACCGATCGGGGCGATCCACAACAAGGCTTCTCAGAGTTCTCGTAAACCCGACGCTCACCGGATGCCACCCCACAGCTTGGTTCCAACCTTCAAAGCTCACCAGGTGGGCATGGGCAGGATCTGTGTCATCGGCTCTGTACAGATGTTTGGGGCGTGGCGCCCCAGCAGTCTTTGAAAGCCTCCAGCAATTCTGCAGAGTGTTTTCATACCTGTCTTCTTGCCCATTGCCCTGACCCACGGTATTTTCCCGGCACACAGTAACGTGCTAAGTACTGCTTCGTGCAAGTATACACTGACATCACACGCATGCATGATCGCACGCTCGAACGCACATACCCGATGGTTCTAGATGTTTTCGCTGCGGGCACCTGAAAGTGACAAGTCTCTCTCTCATTCTTGGCAATGCTGTACTATGTGTAGTTTCGTAGCGGGTTGTGTAGTAGCGATGCCACTTTGTGTACGGACGATAGGGCCTGTATCCCTCGTTTGATGCATGGTTGCTGCTGAACTCAATGCCAAAACATGTTTACACCGATCACCTAATGTTGCTGCTACTTGCAGTGTTATACTATTTCGTAAAGTTAATTTAAGGTATTTAGATGTTTTGCTTGTGCATCATGAGGTTTCCCTTGGCTGTTGCTCCCGAAACCCCGCATCCAGTTTGGTGCGAGGCATCAGCGCTCCCCATGAGGTTTTGAGTCCGTTGCCAGTTGTTACGCATCAGCGCAGACTGCTGCACATCGATATGCGAAGACGTAATGACGACTATGGAATGCCAGACAGTGGCTGGTTGACAACGGCAGCACACATGCCCGAGGATGACTTCCTGGACTGTGAGAAGAACAGGCAGTTGATCGACACCCTGGTACGATGGTGCTGTGCTTACTATCAGATACTATCATGAAATCCTGTCATTCAGCGGAACCTTCCCAACATTGAGGGAGCGCAGCCGACACTCCTGGAGTGGCTGTCAGCTTGCTGCAGGCTATTGCGGATTGGTGACTGTGAGCTCAGCTACGCATATGGCGAGGAGATGCAAGAGCTACAGAATACGGCCCTGTAGATTCCGGCAGCGAGCTGGCTAAGGCCGCACAGACACGCTTCCTTAGTACTTGAACAGGAGCCCGAGCTCAGTGAGTACCATCACATCCCTCACACGCAGGGACTGGCGATGAACCTCAGGCTCTTGTGGGATGACAGTGGGGTGTAGGGAGTGTAGTGGCTTGAAGCGGAATTCCAATCGCGACATGGCTCAGCAGGGTCTTGCTCGCCAGAGTTCACATTGCGATTTGCTGGATCTCTGCCAAATTGCGAGGAGCTGCCTGCAGGCCGCCGGGTGCAAGTGCAGCTAGTCGTATTGGGGTAGGAAAAGCTCGGTGTGCGCCGGGCGCCAAGAGGTATCTGCTTTGCTAAGACAGGCATTGTAGATATCTCTCGATTGGGGCTTTGATGTTGAAATGTCACAGGTTTTCCGCCCGTTTGCCAGTGCTTACCTGCTTTCCTTTCAAGACCTATAGAACTTCGATTTTCGGAGTGCATAGCGGCACAGCCAACTGGAGTAATCGGAAGAACACCTGCAGCTCCACAGTGGGCAAGCTGCAAGGCAAGCCACGCTGAACTCGTAGGGGTCATACCAGGTTCTGTGCAAAGAGCCAGGTCCTCCATGGAACCACTTGGCATGCCAGGAGAACGAGCAGTTACCGAGGGACTTCACCCAGCTCTTTGACGATAGCCTCTTCAAGTTCGCTCCTGCCTTGGGACGGATTGCTGACGGTCGCTTGCTCTTCTCTCCTTGCCATGAAGTCGCTGTAAGCGACGGACACCTCAGGACACTGACTTGATCCCAGAGGCCAAGTTCCTGCAATATGCAATGCTTGGGTGTTGCACTCGTCATTTAGCCATGTGACCTCTGTGGAGAACGACTGGATGACGGAGACATGCTGAGATCAATGTAGAGTCTCTAGAGTCATCGCGTGACCGTTCTTCCGTCTTGCTCGAGTTTGCCAATCATTAACGGTCATTAGTCATTAACATACCGTACCATACCAACGACGGCAGCGCGGCTTTCAGCAACCCATTAAGAGGCCTTAAATATCTCTTACATTTATAAACGGTGCGCTGGAGCCATGTCGATGTACAAGTTGCCCAATGTCAACTCGCCCTATGTGACTTGGATCCGTGACTGGTAGGGCCAAGGCATCTCCACGATTCGGTTAATGCCTTCATAGCATAACTGAGACTTCTTGGTGCGGGGTCAGAAGCTGTCTCGAGTGAGTTGGCGATACCGGGCAGCAGCTGAGGCGAGGCCATACATGACCAACCACCTGTGCTACCAGGCCCCCCTTGCATATTTCTGTATTCGGTTAATTTAGGGAGAGTAGCAGGTTTTGGTGGGTGTTTGTCTCAAGCCGCAATGCCCAACGGCCAAGCAGAGAACAGTTCAGACTGCAGTGAGGTCGTCGTGCTCGAACTTGGAGCCTATAGCCTCGAAGCCTCTGCAGGATCGGATTCGCAAGGAGTTTCACGGCTCCGTTCCTACAGAGATGCAGCAAATGATGGATGCGCCGCTGTCTGAGGCGAGGCACGCATAGGAGGATTCCGTGGAAGTCTTTTTTCCCGTCGGTGCAGCTCAATGCTTCGCTTCATGGGAGCAGCTCTAAACTTGTGAACAGGTTGCAGAGCTTGGCTTGGCTGATAATTGAAGCATGTTACTTTGTTGTAATTTGATGTAATTCGCTTTTCAACGAACTGTAGGACTCCTTTTCTCAGGGTCGTCGCTGCTGTTGATGTTCTTGTCATTTCTTGTGGACCTCTGCTTCCTGCGGAGGCCTCGCGCAGGAAGTTTGGGCTTCCTGCCTCAGGCACCGGCGCTTCAAACCGCTTGCAGCTAGCGTGAACTTTTTGGTTTGATAAGGCGTGGACCTGCTTTAGGTGTGTTTCGCAAAAACTCTTCTTCGACATCCCCCAAAGACCGTTCTGAGCTGGACCAGGTCCCGAAGTCATGGTGTCGACAACAAGTGAATGTATGTGACCGTGGCAAGCCCTGCTTAGAAGGACCATCGGTTTGTCCTCGGGTTTGGAGGTCGTGGAGTGTGTACATTGTGTTCATGTGGCGAGGTTGCCCGAAGTCCGAAGCCTGGCGCAAGGACCCACAGTACCAAGCTTCCAGTAGACTCCGGTTTCGGTGGGCTGCGTGCGAGGGCCAACTTGAAGCACGTGCACAGTTAAGCATGTGGTATGCCGTATGCTAGTATACCTCGCATGACGCAAGAACTCTTGACCAGTAAGGGATCTTGCCGTTGCCATGCGTTGCCCTTGTTGCAGGTTCTGCCCCCAGCCTCATGCAGGCGGGACGGGGGAGGTTCACTGTCAGCCTGGGAGAACTACAGGATTACAGCGACCATCGTGCTGCCTTGGTTCACTTCCTGCAACCCGCCCGAGTGAAAGTGAGAGCACGCTGGCTGCCCTGCCGGTTTTTCTTGAAGTTTCAACTTCCACAGATGGGCGCAATGGCACGACTTTCATAACTCGGGCGTTGGGTTGTGATTTTTGTTGCTGCTATGGAGCTGCTGTAGTGAAAATCCTTATCCTTGTTGCAAATGCAGTTTTGACGGCGAGCCATGCGAGAACTGCCAAAGCTAACGCATCATCTGGTTCGTGAGTTCAGCACTCGTGCAGGAGAGATTTCCCAAGGGCTCCTTCAACAGAATGAACAACGACTCGACCGGGTTCTCCAGGCCAGGATCCGCGGCTGAAGCGAAGCTGACTACTAGGACGAAGTGGGTTTGCTTAATTAGCTGGTTTCACGAATCTGGCGCAGTCTGCTTGCCGACGCGGCAGTCGAGCACCAGAGTGCACATGGTGCTGCCAAGAGATGGTGCGGCTCGAGCATTGCCGGGTTTCATCTTCAAGCAGCACGCTCAAGCAGACCACAACAACTTTCACGTTACAAAAGCTTTTGTTTATGCCTGTTCGCCACGTGAGCCGGTACGGCGGGGGTCTACATCCCGCCGCCATCTAACAATAGCCTCGCAACGTGGGAATGTGGCAAATTCGTACGCTTCAGCTGCATGCGGAACAAGCTCCAACCAAGGACCAAGAGGTTTTCAGAATCGTGCCAAACCGACAGGGCGATCCTGGGAAGCAGAGTTTAGGTACAGAGCGTGCCCATGCGGTCACCACCACCTTGGAGCCTCTCCAGAAAACTCCCACAGTCAAGGCATGTCAAGGCCAAGGCGGTGGCTTGTGAGAAGAGAGCTTCATAGCTTTGCCAGCTTTGCATAGTATATTGCAGCACGATAGGTGTCGGTGTCGGAACAGTGGCCGAGCCGTTGCAGGTCTCTGCTCGGAAGCTGGGAGGGCACCTTGATCAGCTCGATTTGGGGTTCTTCAGAAGCCACTGTTAACATACGCACCTTGAGCGGAGTGGTAATCCACCGCAACCAATCCATTTTAAATACAAAACTGATCAGCATTTGCTGAGCTTTCATCGGGACTGCTGCTGTTTGTGCAATGTCTTGCGCGTGTAAGGAGGCATCCAGAGACGCTCCAGGTTCTTAAGGGCTTCGGGTTTGAGGGAAATCGTTTTCGGGTTTCCAGATCACCAAGTCGAACACATAGCAATAGCAGGGCAACTCCAACTGCCAATTCGGATTTGGCCCGGTTTATGTTGTTGGTGAGGGCTGAGCACAAGAGGTCGATCGGACCTGATCGAACGTTCTGTGTCCAACTCATCTGTACCTGCAAATAAAACAAGCTCCGTGTCGATGAGCTGCTTCTAGATCTCCATCTGTTGATTCGATGTTGCTACTGCGCCTGCAACTGCGACGACCACATCCGTCTTCTGCTTCTGCACACCCTATGCGGCCAATGCCTGTAACTTCGCAACCATTCCTCGGCTGTCCTCGTGCCGCTGCACCCCTTCTTCGGCATACTTGCCCGTGCTCTGAGTAGATCTTGCAGTAAGCCCTGCCAGAAACTTAAGCCAGTGGCACCTGCCGCAATCCCTAAGACCTTCATCCCTACATGACGCGTGAAACTCTCCCCTACGAAACCCGAATCCCGAACCCCATTCCTGCACCGCCGGTGCCCCAGACTCATAGAGACTCCCAAGCTACTGCAAACCCTCTCGCGGAGCAAGGATCAGGCGGCCTCAACTCACTCCATCGTCAGACCTTCGGCCCAGCTCGGGCTCCAGAAGCCTCCAAGAATGGAGAGTTTGGAGATTAGGGGCGTGCTGGGTGCTTTTTAGAGGTGGGGTTGTTTACGGGGCCTACAGCAGGCATCAAGCAAAGAAACAGGTGCAACCCACGACTGCAGTCAGGCGAACTCCCAAGCCATTTGTGTTTCTGTGTCTTTCTACATCTATGTTTATATCTCGACTCTCGGCCTATGTATCCGTCATGTGGGTCTTTCTTAAAGTACTTGTACATGTTTGCAAATCAACATGTGTCTGGTGTTTGGTCTTAAAGGTCGCAGCCTGGGCACCGAACAGCGAAAGCAACTTCAGGTCGTCAGGCCGGAGGAGACCAGCTCCAATGTGCGGCACATGATCCACTCCCTGAAGATGGACAGGCCGATCTTTCTCTCTCCGGGAGTGGTGCCACTGCTTCGGCATCTGCTGATCGTTGTTCAGTGTGGATCTTTATCCAGGCCTTCGGAGAAGTGAATGCTGTTCTGCCCAGGATGAGGGCGAGCTCACTGCCTCGATCCTGCTGAGGGGGATAGCCGAGCTCGCATGATGTTTTCTGTTTGAGCCGTAGCTGCCTTTCAAAGAAATGACTCCAGCCCGTTTGTGCCGGTTGACTCTCACCACAATGCCGCAAATTGCGCGCATTCGTCTGCCTTGACTGTCTCTTGTGGCCTTCCCTGCGATGTGGTGCCACCAGCTATCCAAGAGCGTCTAAGAGTGGCAGTTGGGATGTCCAGAAGGTGGACTGGGTCAGTACACATGTCCTCTACAAGTTTCACCGGTTCGACGTGTGTGTAGTTGACGGACCAGAGCCCAGCATTTCAAGACAGCGGTGCAGCTGTGTGCAGATTTGGGCCTCCATATTATGATGAGCCCCATACTCTAAGTCTAAGTGTGGCTTTCAACAAGCTGCCTTTCTGCTCCGTTCAGGCTGTGAAGTTGTACCACCAGCTGGGTGTCAAGCACGAACCGTCGGGGTCTGACTGGAGCACAGGTGTCCGTTGACTATTCTTGCCTGATCCCGACTAGCACCGTCTTGAAGTTCTCTCAAGACATGCTGACACGCTATTCCCGTTCCACCTTCTCCCCAGGCTGACGCTGATTCCTCCGCAGTTCGAGACTCCGATGCCTGCACTACAGCCGGCAGCCCGGGGCCCCGGAGTTCCTTTTGAGCACGAGGTAGAGATCGGAGGAACTATTGAAATGACTGTAGGTGTGTGTGTGTGTATTTCTTTCGCTCGGTCTGTCTCTGTCTCGGTATGTCTTATATCTGTCGTACATCTGTGCATACTGTAAATACATAATATGTACGACGGATCCCCCACCAATCCGAACGAGCCTGCTTGGCTGTGTGAAGTTCGGCTGTTCAGGTCATCCGCTAGCCCAATGGACCCATTGATTGAGCCATGAACCCATTCATTAACTCTTATGCGATTGACCCCTTACTTTCTGGCCGAGTGGAATTGGGAGAGTCAGGTCAACAATGAACCAACCTATTGGTCCATTAATCCCTCAATCCATTACATAACCTCCCTAAACCCCAAACCCTGGTGATTCCAAATGGACTTGAGTTGCTCAGGCTGATGGTCAACGGTCAACCCATTAATCTATGAACACAAAGCCTCCTGTCGACCTTCCTCTTTCTTGTTCTCAACGAGTCTGGTGTTTGTTTACAAATTTCCAGTCTCTGCGAGGGTGCGCAGTGTCGACTTTGGGAACGCGAGTGCTGTGATTCGGATCAGCCGTTGTTTTACTGCTGCAAGAAAAAGGATATCATGATTCAGACACTTACCTTGCAAAACTTATGGTGCAGCTTGCGTCGCCCACTGAACCATTATCAAGAGAGTTTCGCTTTTGCTCTGACGAGGTGTTCCCTCCCTGCCTGCGGGAACCGCCGCCACCCAGCCTCGACTTGTTCGACCTGGACATGGGGCTGCGGCTTGAATTTAGTGGCATTCACATATTAATCTCTAGGGCCTTCTCTATGGATTTGCGGGTGAACAATCATGCAACCGGCAGCCTTGATGCCGGGATTCGGGCAGCCATGGTCCGGACTCTGGTTGCAGAGGTTGCCAGAAAGCCAGCATGACATGCTTTGGAGGACGAGCAGTTCGCCTCGGAGCGGGTGCGCTTAGCGCAGCTCACCAACAAGTTGCAAGCTCGGATTGGCTTCCCAGATTTAGCCGTGCAGCGAAAAAAGCAAAGACGTTCTTATTCGGCAGGGGTCGCAGGCACTTTTCACTTTATGCTGACCCTCCCCAGCACCAGCTCGGGTCGCTCAGGTGCACGGACGACGACCTCGACTTCTACATTCGACAGGCCGGTTGGTGGGTTCCACCAGATGTGCAGAGTGTGAGTTCGATTGTAAAGTCCTGGAGCCTGCCAAAGACTCCGAGACACATCCTCCCCGAACAGAAGAAAGCAGAACTTAGGACTAGAGACATTCCAAGGCACGAGCGCGAAGCAGTGTCTTTTCGAAAGCCTTCCACCGCTCCACGGAGGCGGGGGAGATCCTCGGCGTCTCGCAGAAGTTGGGCGACAAGCGCTCGTCCAAAGATCCGGCCAAGAAGATCGTCGAGCCAGCAGCCCAGTTTCGGGGCTTGGGGTTCAACAGCATTGATTTCACAGGTTGATCTTTCATGTTTCAAGCAGTACTCTACTTAGTAGCTCAGCAGAGGCGGCAGTGGGCAATGCAATCCGACATCCAAGATGCGGATTGTGAGGAGTGCAGAATCAGGCATTCGCTAGGCTATTGTATGTTCAACAGTGAGCTCCCGGCTGAGGTACATCTTCAAGGAGTTAGTCGGCTTCAAGAAAATGAATCAAGACATGGTGCCGTCGGTCGGCATCTCTGAATAAGCACGCGCTGAATTCGAATTGCCTGCAGCTTGCAAGAGTCAAAACCACTAAACGATAAACCAGGAAATCTGATGGTCTTGTCTCTTGCTTGCTAGGCTTCATCGTAAACGCACAGCGTGTCCAAACGGCGAGATTCTCGGGCGGAAGTAAATGCAGACGCCCCTCGCCGGGACACGCCAGCATGTTGACAGTAATACGCAAAAGCCTTGCTGGGTGAAGGACCCGGTCAGTTGGATCTACTGGGTGAATCTGGGTGACACTAATTGTAGACTTAAATTTAAAAGGCAGCCCTGGGATGGTCACTCCCAGAACGGTGGATGTGAAGCCAGAATTTCGAGCGAATTCCGCCTGTAGCTAGTCAGTGTGGGGGCCTCAGGCTCTCCACAGCTTATCGGCACGGGACTGTCGTTGAATTCCCTGTATCCATGTTAGTAGAGAAAAGCGTTGGCACAGAAAAGCGGATTGTCTTTGGATGTAGCAGTTCCTTGTCTTGAAAGCGAAGCTGAAGCCGGACAGTGTCACACTATGCCTGGGAGCTGCATGCTGCCGAGCTCATGGCCATGACATCAAAAAGCCTGGCAGTCACCTCAAATTGCAGAGTCGAAGTTTGCAATTCCCAGGCTCCCCATGCATGTCAAGACTGTTGCGAGCAAAGCTTTGCTCCAAAAGCCGGGTGCTTTGCAGAGCATGCTTGGTGTGGGTTGGGTGACATGATGCGAGTTGCAAGGCGCACGTGGTCGATTGCTGCATGGTGTCTGTGCTATAGCTGGCTCGAATCAGCCGGAATCGAATCCGCCGCTTGCGGCACCCGATTCAACATCCTCCAATGACTGCATCTACGAAAGAGCCCGAGGAAGTCGAGAAGAGGCTGCTCAGGCGTTTTATCTCAGAGGACTTGGCCGAAAAGCTGCTCATGAAAGAGCTCCACAGCAGCAGCTGCAATCTACTCACGGATTTCATGCTTTGGGGATTCATCCCTAGCCAAGGCTTCGCGCGGAAAACCCGCAAGATTGCGAAGAGGTCGACACCACCGAAGTGGACGAAGAAATGACGCCCACTGAGGAGTCGGCAGCAGCTCTCAAAGCAAGATGCGTTGCACCCATGTCGATATCGCATTCTCCATCAGGACCGCAAGTACGAAGCCAACAAATCACCGACTGTGAGGCAGCCTCTCAGATGCAGGGAGTTGGAACGCTCCTTCCGTCCTGAGGCCCTTCCCATTGACCTAGTGTTTCTTACTCTCTCACCCCTTGTTGCCATTGAGAGTCTTCTGACAAGACTGCAGTAGTTCTGCTGTCGCATGTCGTAGTGTCTCGTCTAGATGCAGACACACTTCGCTTGCCACTGCAGCCACTCTGACATTTGCTCGTTCTTCTTCGAAAGCGGAGTTTTGCCTTGTGCTCTTTCGTGCTAGTTGGCTAACGTCCCACAACCTGCAGCCATCGAGATTCTCTAAGCGGGTCTGCCGGCTTTGGTTTGCTTAGCGGGTTCCTGCAGGTTTGCCGGACCCACGAGAGTATCCGTGGGAAAGGTAAGCCAGTGTTTTTTTGTTTTTGCGTTTTACGGTATTCGGGAAGCACACAGCCGCGAGAATGCAAAGCGAAAATTTAGGTTTTCGTTCTTACGTGTTTACTCTGCCCCATGTCTGATTTCTGGAATGAGTTTGCGCGCACACGTGCAAGTGGAGAAGGGTCAAGGCCTAAATGGCGTGTTCTTAATACTCGTTTCTTGCTTTCGCTGTTTTCGCCTGAACTCTGAAACTCGAGCCCCTAAATCCCGAAGCCCTCTGCGTACAGTTTATGTACCTGCTTTCAAACGCGTTTTTGCACGGTCACTGCATATCGGCTTACAAAGTGCGTGCGCATGGTACAATGTTCCCGATACTTGAAGGGATGTACTGTCTTCGTGGTTCTGTCCTGGTGTGCTCCCCATTTTATAGGTTGTCAGCCGTACAGCTTGCGGCCTGCTATTTGGTGCAAGGCACTTGTGTGGTATCCGGGCCAGTGCATCAACTCCCCCGACCTTGTTCCTACAGAGATCCCCACGGACAACCAGCAGTTCGTTAACGCATTAACCGATCATGCATCAATCCCGGACAGTCTCTTCTTCCATCGTTTTCCAGCTCCCTACCCAGGGTAGCCGTGAAGGGGCAGGTGAGGGCAACATACTTTCCTGCCATGATTTTGTACAATCAGTACAATGTTTTCGCTTTTGAGATTCACTCACGTTCCAACTGTCGCAAATGCATGTGGAGGTGCAGGAGCTTGAGCAACAGGTAATATCAGGCAGGAAGGAGGCACGAGCAGCCAATAGAATCCCAACAACGAGCCAACCTCCTGAACATCTGCAACCTTCAGGAAGGGGCCGAAAGAATTCACCTTGAAAAGGTCCCAGCGCTTGAGACTGCAATGGCAATATCTGAGAAAACGCCGGCCGAAAGGGGGAGAGTACCTACATCCACTACAAAAGAGGGTTTGACAGCATGGCCGCGGTTCGTTTCCGCACGGTTTCCGTGAACCGGAACCGGAATCTGTGCGGTTCGGTTCCTGCGGTTCCGGTTCTTGCGGTTCCGATTTGCGGTTCCGACGGTTCGCTATATTATTTGCTACGCAAGTGTGT